AGGGTTTGGCTGATCCTCTGGGGCACAGGGGGTGACTCTTGGGGCTGGGCCTGTGCAGGGCTGAGGGTTGGACTCCGTGATCCTTGGGGGTCCCTCCCAGCTCAGCACATTCTGTGACTCTGTGACTGTGTGAGGGATGGAGCAGATCCCGCTCAGCTGCCACTCTCCATTCTGGGAATGCCCCATCCCTGGGCCCAGCCAGCTCCCTGTGTTTGATATTGCAGCTGGGAAGCGGCAGCTCTGACCTCTGGCCCCCGAGCTGGGGTTTGGCCCTGCAGAGGGTGAACTGCTCCCTGTTTGCACAGGCTCGGGACGCAGGATCAAAGGGCTCCGCCTGAGTAAGAGCAGCCCAGCCCTGCGTTCTGTTCACGTTCCATCTCCTCAGGCTGCCTCTGCCTGCCCAGAGGGCTCCCAGGGCCGGCTGGGAGGAGGTGGGTGACCCCACGAGGTCCCCAGGCAGTGAGCTTTACCTCACCAGGGTGGCATGTGAGCTCAGATGGGTGGGTCTTTAAGCTGAGCTGTGGAAAGCCATCCTGCTCCTCATCCGAGAGCAGATCTGCAGCCCGGGCACTGCCTGAGCTGCTCCCTGAGGAGTGCAGGGACAGGGACCAGGGAGAGCAGCGTGTGTGGGAGTCAGGCCCTCAGACAGCCCAGGGCCATCCAAAGGAGGGCACTGAAGATGCCCCACGGTGAGAGGTGGGACGTGGAGGATTCTGCTGTCCTGGGATGGGAAGGTTGTGTAGGTCAGCAGATCCCTCCCCAGCAAATCCAGCTCTGAAGCAAAGGGGCACATGACACAGGCAGCTGGGGAATGTTTAGGTTTGTGTCCTGCTGTGATTGCAAGGCCACCAACTAATTCATCTCCACAACCATAGGGAGAAGGAGCCCCAGAGCTCTGGCAGGAGCGGGCACTGCAACCCAACACAAGCACAGGAATCAAATGGTTTCCTCAGTCTAAGCAGGTGCTTCTTTCCCTGCAAAGAACCTGGGAGGCAGACATGGATCCAAATGGTGGGTGTTGACACAGGGGACAGTGCAGAGTGTCCGCTGAAGCTTCTGTTGTTTTGGACAGGCGAAGCTGGCGGGGGAGCGTGGAGCCCGTGCGATCCTTTTCGACATTACTGACGATGAAAGTGCTGCTGATCAGGTACAGACCCCATTAATGCTCTCAGCTAAACCACAGTGCTCCTGTCCCATCCCAAAATGTGTCCATCAGGACCCACCAGCCACCAGCAGAAAGTCCCAGGTCCCAGCTGGTGTTGGATGTTGGCTCTCACCCCACTCAACCATGAGGAGTCGGTTCCTCTTTCCTTCGCTCCAGGGCACATCTACACTCTCAGAGGACATTATCTGGTCAGTTGAGCTTTTCTGCCAGGAGCTGGATGCTTCCTCTTGGGAAGTCATGGATTTCCTAATTTCATCTACTCCAGACAGCCCAGTTTACCTCTAGGGAAAGGTGACTTCTCAAGTTTTCAAGCCCAAGTCACAGCCCTCCCTGCAACACTCTTGGTGCAGGTTTAGAGACCTCCAAAGGTCTCTTCCCCCAGCATTGCTGTCATCTCTGGAATGGAATCAGTTCCCTATCCAAATGGTCCAGGGATAATGAAAAGCATCCAGCATTCGACTGAGGACAGACAGGGGAGCTGGTGCCTGAGCTTATCCAAACTCTGGGCTGACTCCTTGCTGGATCCATCTCTCCTGGCTCTTTTATGCACTTACAGATTAATTTCTGATGTCAGAGAAAGGCAGCAGCGAGTGCAGGTCCATGAGGTGACTCCAGGGTGTCTCAGATCCCAGTCTCTGATCCCTCTGAGCCTCTGATCCCACTTTCCCAGCTTCCCCATCTGCAATACCAAAGCCAAGAGTGGCAACTCTCATCAACTCAGACCCTGCAGCCTCCGTGGTCTTCACGACCATCTGCACCTCCACTCACATCCCTGTCCCCAGACCCAGGCACCCACCTCTGGGTGCCCCCAGGACCTCCCAGGGCACGGGAAGTGGTCAGTGGGTCCGATGGCCACCCTGGTCCAGTCCAGGTCAGTCTGGAGGGGAGCAGGCTTGGACACTTGCTGAGCCAGCCCGTGCCAGTATGACCAGGAACAACCAGAATGTCCTCAGGGAGGAGGGGAACTGGATGGGTCTCACAGGAAGAGCAGAGGAAGCATTTCTGTGGGAAGGCAACACTCGGCAGTGCTGTTGGCAGTTCCCACAGGGAAGAGGAGACACCAAGAACTTTTGCACAGGGGCTTGAAGAGGAGCTCAAGAGACACCAAGCAGTGTCCAGCTGGGCATGAGGAGTCACCAGCAGGGAAAATTGAGTATTTTCCCAATGCTGGAGAGTTGGTACAAGAGGAGGAGCTTCAATCTAATTCATATTCATCCTAGAGAGACAGTACAGATCCGGGGGAGCAGTCAGTCTCTGAAGTGTGTGCAAGAAGCATCTGGAGGATCAGACATGCCTGGGGGACCAGGATTGTCCTTTTCCAGGCTGTTCTGGACCAGCTCTCACTGTGTTTGTTCCTTTGCAGCTGAGGAAGCCCAGAGGCCTGAGCCAGCCCGTGGTTCTGATCAGGGGCCACGACGCCGAGCAGCTCATGAGCGTCGTGAACAAGAACAGAGAGGCCCATGTGAAGATAGAGGTCAAGGAGCCACCAGCCTGGGTGAGACACACACCATTCCCACTGCCTCCCACATCCTCCCTCCCAAGCACAGGGCTTTCCCAGAGCTTTGCTCTCAAGGGACAGAGATCAGAGCCCTTGGCAGGAGCTGTCTGTAGCATTCAGATGACCTGCTGCAAATAAAGGCTCAAAAGCACTGTCAGCTTACTTAGTTTCTTTTGCTCCAACGCCACGAGTGAGGTGAGGAGGTTCTCTGTCTCTTCAGGGGAGACCAAGCCTTGCGTTTCTCATCTTATGCTGCCTTAGACCGTGGCACTGGGGGAGCTGAGATGCTGCAAGACAGAGATTTTCCATTCTTGGTGGGATGTCCAAAAAAAAGGCCGAACCCTTTTTTCCTTTTTCTGTAAAGAGCAAAGAGGTAGAGCTTGGCCTTGTGTTCGAAGGCTGATGGGCCAGAAGAGATTGGGAGACCCCTGCCAAGCCTCTTATTCCCAAGTCTGCCACGCAAGATTAATTTCTCTCCTGTTTTATCCAACAGCCAGACTACGACGTGTGGATCCTCCTCACCGTGGTCAGCACTGTGGTCGTCATCGTTTTGATTTTCGTTGTCCGCACAAAGTGCCAACTGAACAGGACTCAGGTAGGGACCCCCTGGAGCAACAGGAACACACAAAAGGCGGGAACAGAGATTGTTTGGGAATTGGGGAAATGGGCAGACAGTGGGGGGACAAGGGGGAATGACTTCAAACTGCCTGAAGGCAAGGTCAGATGAGATATTGGGAAGGAATCCTTCCCTGTGAGGGTGGGGAGGCCCTGGCACAGGTTGCCCAGAGAAGCTGTGGCTGCC